AAGAGAGTCGGTGGCCTCGGATTAAGGCATATGAAGCTACAGAATCGTGCTTTTATGATGAAGCTTGGTTGGGGACTTGTAAATGATCGACATTCCTTATGGGCGAGGGTCATTCGCGGGAAATACAGCTGCGGCAACGATCTACTGCCAAAAATCACCCCTAACAAGCCAGGCTCTAACGCATGGAATGGCATCAAACGAAACTGGAAGGAAGTGACCGATGGTATTGAACAGGTCTATGATAGTAATGGTGAGATTCGAGCAAGATGGAAAATTTTGAAATATTTTTTAAGACATCCAACATCTCAAAGTTTTTTAGGATATAGGTCATTTTTGCTCCGGAAGTTTTCACAAAAGAGCACTAGTCATCAGGAAGTTTTTTCTGGAGCAATACTACTTTGGATGTAGTAAAATTATAGCAATGTGGCTCTTGCCCTAATAGACCGAACGATTGACGTTTGTTGATCCAAATATGTTGAGGTGGCATGCCCGCATGGTGTCCAACTCACTTTTTTCTAAGTCAAAGATTAAAAATAAAAATTGTTATCCCACCTGGATGCCTCCATTCACTCTCTCCCTGACGCTCTGCCTTCTCGTCTCCACTCATCTCTATCATCCCTGTCTCCGGTGAGCCTTCTCCATCAGGTTGATCTTCGCCGCCACTCTTAGTTGCTGTTGAGCCCCCTTTGCCATCGGGATTCGAAGTCGCCACTCTTAGTCAGCGTCGAACCCCCTCCGCCATCGACATTCGAAGCCGCCACTCTCAGTCGTCCTCGAACCCCCCCTCAGGCCATCGGGATTCAAAACTGATACTCTCAGCCACCGTCGACCCCCTTCTGCTATCAGGATTTGAAGGTCATCACTAGATCTCTACAAACCGTTCTCCATCAACTCTGCCAATATCCTCCATGCCTCTCACTCCCTTTAAAGATTTCTCGCACCAAATCCATTGATCTTTGCCTGTGACTTCCTCTGGAGATTTCTTTCCTCAGATCTATCGATCTCTGCCTCTTACTCCCTCTACTCAGCAAGTTCAAGAATCAAGGATTTTTTTTTTGGAAAAATTAATTTGGAGATCCTTATAGTTTTATCTTATTTTAATTTGAATCAGGTCCTCAAGGATTTTTTTTTTTCTGTTTATTAACTGCTTTAGGTTTGCACCGTTATATCCGTTGCTCCTTGTCCTTGAAAACCATTTAACAAGGATGAACGGATTGTTGACAGATGTTAGAGAGGACTGAGATGGAGGACAAGTGGACTCTTCTGCTCATACTTCTCTCTTTTGCTTCTCCAACGCGAGTTCGAAGAGTGCATGAATACCGAAAATCAGAGGGAAAGCGGCCAGCCGGAGAGTCCCGTTGGGAGCACCCACGATGATAAACATCAAACGTCGTTGATTGTAAAGGATACAAGCAGAAGGAAAATAATCAAAATATCCAACTCCCAAACACGGGACCAAAAACAAAAATCAAGCTTAGATTTGACCACACCAAATAATTTCAAAACGAATTTGGTATAATACGAAGCTAGTGGGATGTCTTATTCCTCTGACATAGGATTTTAATGGCATTTTTCTGATTGTTTGTCGTGTAGCATTTGCAGGGGAGAAGTTGTTGTACTCATACTGAGAATGATCAAGAAAACCTGTGAGGAACCACGCCCTCAGTCATCGGAACTGTTCATCAACTGTTGGGTTTCATCGTGGATGCTCCCCACAAGACTCTCCGGCTAGCCGCAGTCTCAGTCCTCTCTAACGTCTATCAACAGCCCGTTCATTCCCGTTAAACGGTTTTCAAGGACAAGGAGCAACGGATATAACGGTGTAAACCCAAAGGAGTTAATAAAAAGGAAAAAATCTTTGAGGACCTGATTAAAAATGAGATAAAATGACAAGGACTTCCAAATTAGTTTTTCTTTTTTTCTTTCATATTCAGAGCAAACAAACTAAGGTGAGCTTCAAAACAAAACCTTGTAATTTCAAATTTGCTGAAAATCAATTCTGTCAAAAAAAACATCCTTAGCGTGTTAAAAATAGGAAATCATGATCTTCAATACCAAGCCACTTCTGCGATAAAGTGTTCGTTGTAGTTGATAGCGACATGTGAAAAAGTTGAATTTGCAGCAATTGTGGTCAGTTCATTGATAATGTAATTGGCTCCTTAGCCGGCGAGGATTTCCTTTTTGGGAAAATTACATACAAATCTCACAGAAGATTTTTTATTTATCTAAGGTCCTATAAAATATCAAAATTATTGACAGGTCCCAAGGAATCTTAGAGTAATATATTCTATTGTAAAATGACGTACTGCCCCTCACATTCCAAATTCACATTTGCTTTGTCATTGCGATTTACAACCTTAGCAGTGACTATTAACAACCCAATGAGAAAGTGTTAACAACCTAAGCAGTATCTGTTAACAACTTACTTTATAAGATCACATAACCTCCACATAAGAGTAAATTATAACCAAATAGTATAATACAACAATTTTAACACTAAAATGGGAAACTTTTTGAAATCATTAAGAATTTTAACTAAACCCAATAGGATTATAGCAAAATTTAATACAGAGATCCATTGACAACCTCAACGGTGAGTATTAATAACCTAAGGAGAACTGTTAACAACCTTAGCAGTGTCTGTTAACAACTGACTTTATAGGATAATATAACATCTAACGATTATATAAGATTAACTTTAACACTATTTAGTTATAATTTAGACAATTATATAAGATTAACTTTAATACTATTTAGTTATAATTTAGTTAGTTATAGTTATATGTTATATTATCCTATAAAGTCAGTTGTTAATAGACACTGCTAAGGTTGTTAGCAGTTCTCTTTAGGTTATTAATACTCACCGTTGAGGTTGTCAATAGATTTCGACATTAAAATTTTACTATAATCCTAGTAGATTTAGTTAAAGTTATTAATGGCTTCAAAAAGCTTTCCATTTTAGTGTTAAAATTGTTATATTATACTATTTGGTTATTATTTACTCATATGTGGAGGTTATGTGATCTTATAAAGTAAGTTGTTAACAGATACTGCTTTTGTTGTTAACACCTTCTCATTGGGTTGTTAATAGTCGCTGCTGATGTTGTAAATCGTAATGACAGAACAAATGTGAAATTGAAATATGAGGGGCAGTAAGGTTATTTTACAAATAGAATATATTACTCTAAGGTCCCTTGGGACCTGTCAGTAATTTTGACATTTCGTGGTACCTTAGATAAATAAAATCTCTTCTGTGGGACCTGTATGTAATTTCTCTTCTTTTTTTTGGGTGATTTAAACTAACAATTTAGTTGGGTTCTAAATTTATTTTAGACATGAGATCAAAAGCCTTTGGGTTTAGACACTTCTCTAAGAAAATTTTTTTGGGGGTTTACGTAATTAATTTTTTTTGAGTGATTTGGATTGATAAGCTATAGCAAATTGGGGCCATCTATAGCTTTATGCTATCGTCATAGTTGCCTGTAATTTTTGGCTTTGGGGATCTATTGTAGTCGAAGGATGGGGCTGCGGATTGGGTAGCTCATTCATATTCTCTTATGAGAAAAAACTATCAATGTTGATGCTGATTCTTTTATTTCCAAGGATTTCGATTTAGTTTGTGAAGATTTGGACTTTGTGTAATTAATCTTCAACTGTGCGGTGGAGGAAACATGTGTTGCCTGAGCTTGTGCCACTAGGAAAATAGGATTTGGTGAGGGATGGGGCATGTCTGGCATTTATTTTTTAAAAACTTTTTTGATGACGTGGCATAATATGCGGCATAACAGTGGTATAATATCATATATATATAACAAAGCCAACTCAACATATTTGGGTCAACAAACGTTGACCGTTTGGTCTATTAGTGCAAGGGTCACATTGCTACATTTTTACTACTTTCGGGGTAACATTGCTCCAAAAAAAATTTAGTTATGACCGGTGCTCTTTTGTGGAAACTTTCGGGACAAAACTAACCTTTATTCCAGGTATTTTTTTTTTAAAAGTGCGTCTAACAGTTGAAAATATTTTTTGGTGCATCCAGTATCAAGGCCAAAAAAATACTTTAGGGTGCTGGTCGCCCCTAAAAAATATTTCGGGATACTGGATGTACCACAAAATACTACAGGATGCTAAATGCACCTGAAAAATATTTTAGGGTATAGGATGCATCTTCACCCTATATAATATAAAAAATGTGTAAGAAAAAGAAGGTTTAATACAAATTTTGGGCATTTAAGTTCATCTTTATTTTGAGTTTAGTCCCTTAAATTTCAAACAATAGGTTTTGGTCACTCAAATTTCTTTTTATTTATCATATTTGTCCCTACTATCTAATAAAATCTTGGACCATTTTGCCCTATGAGGAACCAAAACCTATAGTTTAAAACTTGACGGACCAAAAACAAAATAAAGACAAACTTGAGGGACCAAAGTTTGTATTAATTACTATAAAAAAAACCGTAAAAGAAATACTCTATAATGACTTTATGAATTATTTTATTAAAGAAGAAGAGTTTGTTGAGATAACATTGCAGTTTAAGAGTTTAAAATCACTATAAAAATTATTATTAACAAGTAAATTGAATAATCTAATAATTATTAACAAATAATTTTTCTAAACAATACCTTGGGGATGGGACATGATGGGACTACCCCATCCTATGTCCCGTTTTGGATATCATTCTATCCAGTCCCATAGTCATCCTATCCTGAATTTTTGTTTTTTGGATCCTGTCCCATCCCGTTCCAAATTCTCGAGATCAGGACCAGACAAGTGAGACAAGACAAATTGAATACTCCTGTGTCCAAACAATCGGACCATCCTACTTTTGTAGGCACACAAATTTATCCGATGTGGGGCGTAAGGGCTCAGGCCGCCAGAGGGGACAAATAATCAAGATTTTTTCCGTTAAGGATGGACTAATTATATCAACAACCTAATATTGGAAAAAGAGAAAAGGAAATATAAATCCATTTTCATAACATGCAAAATACTATAATTATTCTATTTCGCCAAGATCTGCTTGAACAAAAGCATGCTTCCTTCTAGGATACCCCATCCCAAGCAAATGATTGATATAAACCTTACCATCCTTCACAGTTACTGGTGTTGGCGACCTATGTTTATGCCTAAGCCCTGAGAATGTTGCCACCACAGAAGCTGTTTCCCAGCCATTAAAACTCTCAAGTAATCTCGCAGTAGGATGCTTCGCAGCAACCACAAGTTTAGTCTGAGACACTAATTCCAGACCATCTCCTAAAGTGAGAGACCCTCCCTTCACATTTATCAGCTTCACTTCGTATTCTTCTTCATTGCTTTTTGATAAGTCAACTTTCAACAAGTTTCCGCTATATGTATGAACCACTATGAGGAACCCATCTGGGTGGTAAACGATGCCGTTTAATGCACCTAAGCCCAGGTTCTTGTACCATTCTTTTGCCTTGAACAGTGGGTTTCTGATGATTGATTTCAACTTCCCTTCCACCCCTACCTTCCAAATCTTACTGGCTTTCACATCAGTTACATAAGCGTTACCTTGTGGATCAATTGCTACATCGTTCGCTAATGATTTCTCGTCACCTACATTATAAGGTTAACAAATGTTGATAAGAAAAAATGGTTGATTTTGTTCCTCTGAAATATCAAGCTCCATCTGATATGGATCAGAGGACCCATGTTTCTTTTTAATAAAGAAAAAAAGCTGCAAATACTACTCTACATTACGATTGAAAAACAAATAAATAGAAATCATCTAAACGAATCAAATGGAGGGGCATTGCCAAAGCGCACTTGGTCTCGTAGAATGTATTGAACATCAACAAACCAATATCGCTGAAGCATTATATGACTTTCTAGAATTAAATTTCATTTATCATGAAGTTTGTTATTTCCATCCTTGATAAGCTTAGCTGCATCTAAAGAATCATTTCTCAAGCGGACTAGTCCATGATTCACGTCCCATGCCCTTTTAAGACCAATAAGATACATCCAAAGTTCCATTGTCAGAGGATTTTTATTTTTATAAGGCACTAAAGACCATCCCATGGAAGTAGTTAAGAGTTGAACCTTATAATTAACATAATACTATTTTTTGCTCTTAATATAAAAATTAGTTGAAATGTTGAATTTAATAATATCTCAATTCACTTTGTCTTCTATCTTTTCACAAAACATTCCTAATGATTGTAAAAGATTTTCACCAAGAAATAATTCCAATCATCCAATTGAAAAGAATGGTTTATGAAGACTAACATATTTATCACAAATAACTAATTTATCTATCTCTTACATTGAATTAAAACATATAAAAATATTTATATATAGTACAGCCTCCAGTCTTAAATATAAAAGCTAGTTAACTAGTATGAATAGATTAAAAAAATAAGTTAAATTAATTATTTGTAATAAATAAATGTTGTTTTTCTTAAAATATTCTTACTAATCAAGTATATTGGTTAGAATTGTCATTATTAGAAGGACTTAAGAAGAAATGGACAAATATAAGAAAAGAATTAGGATCTTATATTTATATTTAGAATCAAAATAAAAATCAAAAGAACGACCAGAAATAGTACTAAAAGTAAGAGAAATATTTAAATTAAAAAAAAGACGTAAATTCATAATTAAATGAAACATTTATAATATTCTTCAGTTTTTTGCCCTCTTGTAAAAAAATTTTAGTTTAACGAAAGACGATTCTTCACTGAGCTTCTGGTCAGTTTGAGCTTGTTTTTCAAATCTTTTATCTGAAATGTCGCAAAACCATAATCCTGATATCTAATATCTCCCTTAAAAACACGTTGAAGCCAAGAAGAGGAATCGGAGAGAGTAAAGTCAGGGGCACTAATATGAAGAATCGCAAGAATAAAAAGCTTTACTTGGGCCACTGAGTTGAGTCAGGAATAATCGTTTCCACGTTTGCAAATCGTAGGCTGCAAGCGCTGAGTAGCGATTTCGCCATGGTTCTGCATGAACTGCGAGCAGTCTATTCCTTGGTCGGTCGATGAAAATGCCCAGCGTTGAATTTCCGGCCAGGTCGACGTCTCTGACCACCGGTACCTCCTCTAATACCTCATTTTCCACTCCGGTTACCGGAATCTGACCGATTCCGCCTTCCACGAAACCGACGATGAAGCGCCTATTTTGATCGTCCCACTTGCCGCATTCTCTGAACCATCCATTGCTGTGGTAGTAGTACACGTGCGTGGGGGGATTCGATAACTCCAAGGAAATGATTATGCTGACTGGTATCGCTGAGAGGACCATGATGAAGGCTAGAAATTTGGGAGAGCAAAGCCAAGAGGAAGCCATGAGAGATGGATAGAGAAATACAGGGAGGGGTTGTGAATGCGAGAAAGGCGAAATCAGTTGGACTCCTTGGAATCCAAAAATAGAGACTCAGTGACACCCCTCCGATTGTACCCAAAAAAAGAAAAAAATCACTCAGATTTTTGTATAACACATAAATAATCAATTTAGGTAGATTATAAAATACAAATAACTAGTTGGCGAAAAAAGGGAAGAAATTCCCAAAAAAAATACATTAAAATTTTAAATCTCAAATGAGGAATAACTACAAAATGATTGTAATTTATTTTTTAAATATATCAATTATCATTAAAATATAGTAAACAAATTGATTTAAAATTTTGAAATTCAAAATTTTTTTTTGAGATTATCTAAAAAAACACATATCTAAATTTGGTAGATAAAAATTAGCTAAGACTACTAGATAAAAAATTATTTTATTTTTTTAAAATATCTTATTTATGAAAGGAGAGTAAATGAGAGAAAATAAGTAGAAAAATATGTAAAAAAAATTAATTAATACAATAATATAATTAATATGTGCGTAACAAAAAACAAAAATGAAAAAGATTGATTAAAATTTTAGATATTGTTTAAGTACATCTTATAAATAAAACTACGCCACTTTCAAAAATTATATCTTAGAGGACTAAATGAAGTGATATGCTGAAGTTTTTTACGTGTTTATAAAAAATGTTACTATGTGTCTTGGTCTTAAATACTAAATAGGTTTTTTATCGGTATGCTATACACAGTTAAAAAAAACCAAAATGCTATAATTTTAAAAATATTTATCAATATGTTATACTTAGAATCATTCTTAACAAGAATAATTTTGAAATTGTACACAAGTTGTTCTTGCCAAGAACAATTTATCTGTTATTTGATAAAAAATAAAATCATTCTTCATGTGAATGATTTCACTTTTTGGCAGTTTATTTTATTTTTTAATGTCAAAAAGTGAAATCATTCACATGAAGAACAATTTCATGATTAGACTGTAATATTCCCACATGCAAATTTCTCTGCAATTTTCTCTCCAATGCAAATATTCTCACTTGTTAACTCAGCTTATCCTCCCCATGCAAATCCATAAAGCTACAGCAAATGTACATGCTTTTATATATGGGAAAATTACGTACAGGTCCCACAGAAGGTAATTTATTACTCTGAGGTCCCACAAAATGTCAAAATCACTGACAGGTCCCAAGGGACCTCAGAGTAATATTTTCGATTTGTAAAATGACATTACTGCCCCTCATATTTCAGATTCACATTTGCTCTGTCATTGCGATTTACAACCTCAGCAGCAACTATTAACAACTTAATGAGAGGGCGTTAACAACCCTAGCAGTATCCGTTAACAACTTATTTTATAGAATCATATAACCTCCACATAAAAGTAAATTATAACCAAATAGTATAATACAACAACTTTAACACTAAAATGGAAAGCTTTTTTATATCATTAAGAATTTTAACTAGATCCAATAGGATTATAGTAATATTTTAATGCGAAGATCCATTTACAACCTCAACAGCGACTATTAACAACCGAATGAGAGGGCATTAACAACCTAAGCAGTATCCGTTAACAACTTATTTTATAGAATCATATAACCTCCATATAAGCGTAAATTATAACCAAATAGTATAATACAACAACTTTAACACTAAAATGGGAAGCTTTTTGATATCATTAAGAATTTTAACTAAACCCAATAGGATTATAGCAACATTTTAATGCGAAGATCCATTTACAACCTCAAAAGCGACTATTAACAACCGAATGAGAGGGCATTAACAACCTAAGCAATATCCGTTAACAACTTACTTTATAGAATCATATAACCTCCATATAAGCGTAAATTATAACCAAATAGTATAATACAACAACTTTAACACTAAAATGGGAAGCTTTTTGATATCATTAAGAATTTTAATTAAACCAAATAGGATTATAGCAACATTTTAATGTGAAGATCCATTTACAACCTCAATGGTGAGTATTAATAACCCAAAGAGAGCTGTTGACAATCTAGGCAGTATCTGTTAACAACTGATTTTATAGGATAATATAACCTCTAACAACTATATAAGATTAACTTTAAGACTATTTAGTTATAATTTAGTTAGTTATAGTTAGAAGTTATATTATCCGATAAAGTTAGCTGTTAACAGACACTGCTAAGGTTATTAACAGTTCTCCTTAGATTATTAATACTTACTGTTGAGGTTGTAAATGGATTTTCGCATTAAAATGTTGTTATAATCCTATTGGGTGTAGTTAAAATTCTTAATGATATCAAAAAGCTTCCCATTTTAGTTTTAAAGTTGTTGTATTATACTATTTAGTTATAATTTACTCTTATGCGGAGGTTATATAATTCTATAAAGTAAGTTGTTAACGGATACTGCGTAGGTTGTTAATGCCCTCTCATTCGGTTGTTAATAGTCGCTGTTGAGGTTGTAAATGGATCTTCGCATTAAAATATTACTATAATCCTATTGGATCTAGTTAAAATTCTTAATGATATAAAAAGCTTCCATTTTAGTGTTAAAGTTGTTGTATTATACTATTTGGTTATAATTTACTTTTATGTGGAGGTTATATGATTCTATAAAATAAGTTGTTAACGGATACTGCTAGGGTTGTTAACGCCCTCTCATTAGGTTGTTGTAGTCGCTGCTGAGGTTGTAAATCGCAATGACAGAGCAAATGTGAATTTGGAATATGAGGGGCAGTAATGTCATTTTACAAATTGAAAATATTACTCTGAGGTCCCTTGAGACCTGTCAGTGATTTTGACATTTCGTGGGACCTCAGAGTAATAAATTACCTTCTGTGGGACCTGTACGTAATTTTCCCTTTATATATTCTACTTATTCAACTTTGTTTTTTTGCTTTATCGTCTTTCATCCTAAAGTTCATTTTTCTTCATCTTCATCTCTATAATTTATTTGCTCCGCTTTCATTGTTTTTTAACTTTGTTATTTCTTTACTCTTACTTCCAAACACTTGACAAGCTCTTTTATTGCTACCATGTGTATGTTGTTTCTCTTCTCTCTCTCTCTCTCTCTTTAAATTTGCAATCGTAACATAGAATTTTATTTTTCATCCCTACTACCCTCGACAAACTAATATTTTATTATTCTAATTTTTAGGAGGTGAGTGGTGGGTTCAACGATCTAAAATATTTATACTCTTTCTAAGCTAGGTGGTTTTTATTTTGACAGTAAAACTAACATATGCTATATTATTTTAAGATATTAAGATTTTGATATATGTTCTAGTCTTTTTTAAGTACGTTCATATTTTTTTTTTCTTATGAAAGTATACTTTTCCAAGAGTTTAAATTTAGTAAGATAAAACTGACAAATAATTATATGTATACCGTAAATATCAAATGTATGGTATATATAATAAGTGGGAAGCTGGCAAAAAAAATAATAAGTAAGAAAGTTTGCTACACACATTAAGCAAAATATTGCTTTCATATGTTTTTTTAGGTAAAAACAGAGTGTAAGTAAAAAAAAAAAGAATAAAGGATGCTCATAAAAATTTTTTTCTTCATTTTGGTTTTTTCCTGCTATTCGCTATTTTGCATTTTTGAATCGATGATGACATATCTGCTTTGAATCAAAGGTTTTCCCACTTATAACTGTATTGGAGGGAATAAGTTTGAAGAATAAGCATGACCAATTCCTTTTCAACTAAAGTGATTATAACTTCCCATATTTACTTGGATATTCTTGAAAAAAAAAATTAGAGAAGAAATCTTTATTTTTGAACCCTTCATTTCAACCCAATTATTTTGGTCCAAAAAAAATTAACCCAATTATATTTTTAGTTTCATACAATAAATTGATATTTATTAAATTAAATTTTACAAAAATAGTAAAATAATAAATATGTATTATAACGTATAAATACTATATGTATACATAAAATTAAAAAATTTCCATGATCTGTTATTTATTAAAATAATATCACAAGAAAGAATTTTAACATTAAAAAGATGTCGGTTTGGCATGTTCTATATAGTGCAAACAATATATTAATCAATAATTAATATAAATAAAATTATAGAAATAGCAGAAGAAACAAAAGAAAAAAAAATCTCTATTTCTTAAACTTATTTTTTATTTTTTACAAACAAATAATCTACGAACAATGAAGGAGGAGCAAAAAAACTACATAAAGAAAAAAGAAGAAGAATGAACTTCAAGATGAAAGAAGAAAAAGCAAACAACCAAAGTTAAAAAAATAGAATATATAAAAGCATGTACATTTGTTGTAGCTTTATGGGTTTGCATGGGGGATGAGTTGAGTTGACAAGTGAGAGAAGTGAATATTTGCATTGGGAAGAAAATTATAGAGGGATTTACATGCGGAAATATTATAGTTAAAAAGTGAAACCATTTTTTGCGTAAACGATTTTACTTTTTGATTTTAAAAAAATAAAATGACAAAAAGTGAAATCATCGAATAATTTCACTTTTTGTCAGATAACATACAAATCATTATTGGCAAGAACAACTTATATACAATTTAAAAATCATTTTTACCAAGAATGATTTTAAATATAACATACTGGTAAATACTTTTGAAATTGTAGCATTTGGTTTTTTTTTTTACTGTGTATGGCATACCAGTCAAAAAGCCTCTTAAATATAAGAATTAGGTAAGGGGTTTGCTGTAATTCAAAATATAAAACCTCAATTTATTTTATCTTCTAAATTTATAACTTTTTTTCCAACATATTTTTTTATTGATGACACACAGTAAGGAGATTTCAATCAAAGAATAGTTATACTGTCCATAGTTGAATGTTTTAGAAAAAATCAATACATATTTGTTAAAAATAATTATTTAACTAATTTTTTTAATATTTGTATCTCTTTTGTTAATTAATATTACTTTCAATCCTTAATATAAGAGTTCATTTGACTTTTATTTTGGTCATAAATATGAAATCTCAATCTACTTTGTCTCTCATATT